ATCCATCTTTTGTTTTTTGAGGCGTGGTCTCTCTTGTTTCTGATACTACACTTTCTAGGAGGAGAGATTTTGGTTGCTTCTATGTCTCTACCTCCCATTTTGCTACAGGCATGTGGGACTGTGGACGTATGGCACAGCACCCAGGTTTCCATGTGTCTCCACACTCAGGCTGTCAAGCCTTGTTCGGCAATCTCCCTGGCCTTGGAGATAGATGGATGGATAGATAGATAAGATAGATGGATGGATGGATAGATAGATAGATAGATAGATAGATAGATAGATAGATAGATATTTAAAAATCCTTTTTATTTTTGTTTTTTTTCTCTTTTTTTGTTTTGTTTTGGTTTTTTGAGATAGGGTTTCTCTGTGTGGCCTTGGCTGTCCTGGACTCACTTTGAAAACCAGGCTGGCCTCAAACTCACAGAGATCTGCCTGCCCCTGCCTCCCTGAGTGCTGGGATTGCAGGCGTGCGCCACCTCGCCCAGCTGTGATATATTTTTAAATGATACACATAAGCAACTTTTAAAAAGCAGATTAATGTAGCTTTGACTGGGAATGTGTGACACTGGTCAGCGGAATGCTAGATTCAAGGGGAAATTGGATACTGTGATCCAGCCTGGAACAGGCGACGTTACACATGTTCGTTTCCGAAACCCTAGGCTGGAATTTGGGGAGTCCTATAGGATTCAGGGCTAGATCTTGAACTTGATTACTTTACTTTAGGGAACAAAAGAAACCAGGCCAGAGGGCCGGCTCCATGGCTAAGAGAGCTTGCCAACAAGCATAGGGCCTGAACTGGGTGTCTGTAACCCATGCAAAGGTAGAAGAAAAACAAAAAACTCCATGAAGTTGTCCTCTGACCTCATGTACGCCAAAGTACTCATGCACACTCTAACCCATTAAACACATACATGCACAATAAAAGCAAAGAAAATTCATTTTTTTTAAAGCAGAGAAGAGGACAGGCAAGCTCTGGAGACAGCCCCCGTGGACACACAGCTGTGGGTAGGACACCTTATACACCAGCTAGGGTCTGCCGTGGACACGGATGGAGCCGCTTGTTTGAAGAAAGAAAAAAAACAAGTTGTAATGAGATACCCATCTTCCTTCTGCAGTGCATGTGAATCAAAAAACAGGCTTTGGAGCCAGCCTTCCGCTACAATCTGTTCTGGTTCATGTCTCTGTCGCTCTCTCCCCCTCCCTCTCTCTCTTTCTCTCTCTTTCTAAGCATGGGTCTTATTTGTATTACTGTAGCTTTAGCTGGCTTGGAACTATGTAGTACTTGAAATTCTCCTGTCTCTGTCTCCCGATGGCTGGAATGACAGCGAGACATCACCATATCCAGTCTCTCCAGCAGGTTTCACTCTCCCCACTCACCATGTCCTGTGTCCTCTTCTCTAGGTGTGGTAGTATCCTAGGTAGGGTGCCTATTACTTCGATGAAACACCATGACTAAAGCAACTTGAGGAGGATGGGGTTTATTAAGCTTACCCTCCCTCATCACTGTTTGTCATTGAAGGAAGTCAGGACAGGAACTCAAACAGGGCAGGAACCTGAAGGCAGAAGCTGATGTAGAGGTCATGGCGGGGTGCTGCTTACTGGCTTGCTCTTCATGGCTTGCCAATCTGCTTTCTTACAGACAAGCACAGGACCACCTGCTCAAACATGGCCCCACCCACAAGGGGATGGGCCCTTCCCCATCAATCACTAATTAAGAAAACACCATACAGGAAGCTTTTTTTTTTTTTTTTTCCCTTGAGACCAGGTTTCTCTGCATAGTCTTGGATGTCCTGGACTCACTTTGTAGACCAGGCTGGCTACAAACTTACAAAGATCCTTCTGCCTCTGCCTCCCTGAGTGCTGGGATTACAGGCAGGCGCCACCTTGTCCAGGGTAGAGCCGTTTTCTTAACTGAGGTTTCCTCATCTCACACTACTTTAGCTTTTGTAAAGCTGACATAAAACTAGCCAGCACAGGTAGCTAAAAGGATCCTATGAAATGTGAACATACAGTAGACTAACAGTAAAGTGGCTCCTACCTTTGCCTTTTCAGTGTTTGGGACCCCTCCACTCTCTGGTACTTTCCTGGGTAGCTTGAAGCTCCCCCACAAAAAGAAACATGCCAAAGTACTGCCCTCTGCTTTCTAGTGGTGAATCAAGCACATTGCAGAAGTTTAAACCGAGTACCAACTCCATATTTTATTGGTTGAAGAGCCAGGGGTCAGATCTGATTTACAGATACACATCTGAGTCATCAGCAAGGCATCACTTAAGTACAGCTCACTACTTGCTGTCCATCATGAAATGCCATAGGGCAGAATGATAACAAGGCAACGATAGCGATACTGCCCTTCGTCCGTCTGACTGGCTACAGCGCTAACTCTGCCCAAGTAGCTTCCTGCCCATCATTAATCCCTGATGAAGAGTCCACAACCGAGACCAACAAGATGCTATTAACAGGGGCAGTCTGGGACTTCATAAGCCCAGAGCTGCCGGAACGCCCCAGACAGGTTCACCATGGAGAGCTGGGAAGATGGAATTAGCTGGAGGTTGTCCTCCGGCTAGAAGGTGAGGTGCGGATGCTGACTTCCAGAAGGACCGAGGAAGTGGGAAGCAGAACACTCAGCTGCTGCCAGTGAGGCGCTCACCATGGCTCCAGGCCCATCTGTCTTGGATCATGACTGCAGAGCTATTTTTTCCAGAGGCAGAACCAGCTCAGTGAGAGAAGCTGGGAGACAAGTAAGCCGGGGTAGTGGAGCAGAGGTGACTGGCAGGAGAGAAGAGGAGGGGAGGGAAGAGGGGAGGGGAGGGAAGAGAGGAGGGAAGGGAAGAGGGGAGGGAAGAGGAGAGGGGAGCGGAGGGGAAGGGAGAATAAGAGAGGAGAGAGAAGAGGGGAGGTCGATGTGTGTGCTCTAGGGAAGGTGCTTGGAGAGAAGGAGAGCCTGCAGCTTGGTTTCTCACGTCAAATGTCACCTGAGTCCCCCCAACAGCTGGTCACTATGCCAGTAGCTGTGATATGATGGCTGCTATGATATGATGACGTACACTGGAGCACCTGCCAGAACAGGAGTCTGTGAGCCAGACTCAGCCAGGGTTGGAGAGGTCTACAGAGCCCAGCAGGAGCCCCACTTCCTGAGGATTAGGCAAAGTACACTGACAGGGGCCTGGCCACAGCACCTACAGATGCTCTAGCTGGGAAGCAGTCTTGTTCATATGTCCCTGAGCCACATCGCGTCCAGGCGGCCACTGCACCAGGGTATTTAGTATCCTGGTCAGATACGCTCCTTGCAGACGGATGTGGTGGTGTGCGCCTTTAATCCATCACTCAGGGAGGCAGAGGCAGGCAGATCTCTGTGAGTTCAAGGCCAGCCTGGTCTACAAAGCCAGTCCAGGACAACCAAAGCTGCACAGAGAAACCCTGCCTTGAAAAAAAAAA